GGGGGGGGGGGGAAAGAAAAAAAAGAAAGAAAGCGGGGAGGCCGGGAGGCAGGAGGAAGGCACGCACGTCTGGAAGTAACGCAGACCCTCGATGGAAAGGTCGATCATGCCGCGACACACCTCCTCGGCGGCGGCCACGCGCCCGGCCGCGATGTGCCCCTCCACCAGGCCGCCCTTGGAGAAGATAGACTCATCCGAGAAGTTGGCCAGGGGGGCAAAGGGCCGGAAGGGCCGCACGACAGAGGCCTTCTTGAGTTCTGCCCGTCCGGATGTCAGCACGAGCAAGCCACAGGGGAGCATGAGACCGGGCGAGTCGCCGGGCAGCGGGCGAGGCGGACATACCGGACTTCCGTTCGAGCTGCGCGAAAATCTGTCGCGCATTGGTGCAAAGGGCATGCGCACGGAAGGCACCGTCGGCCTCCAGGTAGTCCAGCGGCACGACGCCGACATTATTCACCGGAAAGGGCACCCCAATCAGGGAGGTCTGCCACGGGGAGGACGGGCGACCCGGGCAGCAGGCGGCACATGCATGTCAGTCATCGGCAGGTGGGAGCACGTGCGGGGCATTCTCCCGGGGGGGGGGGGGGGGGGGGGGGGGGGGGGGGGGGGGGGGGGGGGGGGGGGGGGGGGGGGGGGGGGGGGGGCCGTACCATCAGCGCCGCCACATCGGCCTGGGCCACGTCGGTGCGAACCAAATGATCCAGCCCCCAGTGGTCTTCGGCCAGGCCGTCGGCCCGGTTTTCCACCGTCCCGAGCCAGGTGTCCCACAGTCGGGCGGTGGCGGCCGCGGCCGCGGCCGTGGCACCGGCCGCCGTGCCCATGTCCCCACTCGGCCCCGGGCCCCGGACCCCGGCACCCCAGGCCACCAGGGGCACCCGCGTGCAGGAGGGAGTCCCATCACCATGGGCCCCCTGGGCGGACATGCCGTGATCCGCCGTGAAGATGTACGCCGTGCGGGAGGGCTCCTGCTCCGGGGTGCCATCCAGCCGGCGGAAGAAGTCCTCCAGACGGCCATGCAAGCGCTTGATGCCGGCGTCCACGTAGTGAATGTTTTCGAGGTATCTACGGCGAGTGTGGGCCGAGCCGCGGAAGGGGGGCAAGCAGCAAAATAGGGCGGAGTGAGGGGGGGGGGACAAGAGAGGGCAAGAGAGGGCGAAAGAAAGAGATAGACGAGTAAATGGAGGGGGAAAGTCAGAAAGAAAGAGACGGACAGGGAAATGGAGAGCGGGAGGGGGAAAAGACAAAACATACTGCTTGCTGTCTGGCAGCCGAGCATGCCCGTTGGTGTCGAGGCCGAGAAGGTGGAAGAAGAAGACCGTCCGATCGGCAGCCATCTGGGCTCGAAGCCGCAACCGGGCCGGGGTGTCTCCGGCTTCGGCCGCATCCAGCAGGGCGTGGGCCTTGTCGAAAACCCACCGATCTAGCTCCTGGGGGTCTGTGCGAAGGGGGTCAGAACCATGGGCGCCGCCCCCGAGGCGGGGGGAAAGCAAGGGGAAGGCTTTCGCCGGCGGGGAGGCACCGGACCGACGGCGCTACACGCACCCAGGGTAAAGTCCTCCACATCCGAGCCATAGGTAAAGGTGATGACGCGCCCGGTTCCGCCGATATCCTGGAAGGCCGGGTCATCGGCCGGGCCAAAGACCGCCCCGGGGTCGGGGTCCCCGTCCTCGAAGGCCGGGCGCTCGCCGGCACCGCGCGCAAACATCGGCACCACGTCGGGCGCGCCAATCGCGAAGGTGCGCCGGGTCCGATTGAAAAGCGAATCAAACTCCACCGGGTTCTCCTGCCAGCCTGGGCCCCGGGGCGAGGGGGAGGGGCGAGGCCCGAAGAAAAAAAGGGTGAGACCGATGCGCGAACGAGGGCCCGGAGGCTTGGCGACCCGGACGCACCCTTGGTCACGGCACTGACATCCTCATAGAGCCCGGCGATCAGGGCCACATGCCCGGGGCGTGTTTCGGTGGGGACACGCGTGTGGGCCACGCCCCAGCGGCCGGTCTCCTCGACCACAGACCGGAGAAAGGGCGCCCTAGACCGGTGGTACATGGACTCGTGCTCGGTCGAGAGGAAGCCAAACTCGGGCACCGTCGAGCCGGGCGTCTGCTCCTCAAAAAAGCGGTCCGCTCGGAGGCCGTCAGCTGCCAGAGCGAAGCGGGGAAGAGAGGGGGGGGGGGGGGCGTCGGCAGGTCAGAGAGGCGGACGGATGGAATACCGTGGGGGAAAGGCGCGGCGAAAGGGGATGGCGTGGGCTTGGCGAAGCATAGCCACTCTCGCGCCCAGGCGCATACCGACAAATAGCACAAGGCGCCGGGCGGGCGCGGCTTCCGGGCTGGCATGGAGTGGCATGCCGGAAATCACCGGCGATCGGAAGTACTGAGTGGTTAAAGGTTAGCATATGTCGAAGGAAAGAGGCAGGGAAACAGGGGGAGGCAGGAAAGCGGAGAGAGAGAGAGAGAGAGGGAGGGAGGGAGGCACAGAAACAGAGACAGACAACAGGGGGCGAGGGATCACGTACGATGTCAAAGATGGACAGGGCATAGATGCCGTGAAACACCAGCGCCGTCAGAAGCAGTAGCGCATACTGGCGCCGATACTGGGCCATCGAGCGGAAACCCCGGAGCAAGGCGCTGCCTCGCAGACCCGAGGAGCTGGCCGACGAGGCCCCAGCTCCGGGGGTTGGCGGGGCCGGGACGCGGGCCGGCAGCCGCGAGCTGGTGCCTCCCGGTCTCTGGAGGACCGACATGGGGCCAGGGAGTGCGAAGGGAGCAGGAGCGAAGGGAAGAGAAGGGAAGGGAAGGGAAGAGAAGGGAAGGGGGGGGGGGGGAAGGCGGGGAGGGGATAAGGCGGAGATCGGGCAGAAAGTCTGGCAGGATGGCTGGGTCCCCCGTCTCCCCCCTCCCCCGGGGGCTGGGCACTTATCATACATCCCTCGCCGGCAAAGCGGCCTAGATCGGCGCATCCGGCGGGGCGGGCGAGGACGCGTCGCACAGCCGGGACTTGGAGCTGGCAGGGAGAGAGCCCGATGGCTGGGTCGATCGGCGACGCGGGAGAGGCATCACGCCGGGCTGCGGAAGTGTCGATCACGCCGCCGATCCGGTGATCGCGCGCGCCCTAAACTCGCCGCGATCCGGCGTAACTCGACGCGCATGGGCAACCCTCGCGGCCGGTCGCCGCGGGAAGGAGGGCTGCGCGCTCCCGGGGGCGGGACATTCTTTCGGCATCGGTGGCGCTGTTCCGCCCCGGGCCCCCTCCTCATCACAGGGCCGCCCCCCCGGGCAAGGAAATCCGGCCCGGGAGAGAGGCTCCACGGCGTGCACAGGGGAGAATTGCGTGAAGCGCCTCTCCTGGGAGGGGGATGGGGCCGGGACGACGACGACGACGACGACGACGAAGTGGCAGGCGGCTCGGTCCCCGTCGGGGCTCACGCGAAGGCGAGAATGCGGCAATCCCCCGGGGCCAAATAAAAGCCGGCCATGCCTGAGTGAGCCCGAGGGCCGGCAGGGAAGGGGGCGGCTCTGGGCTGGTGCGCCGGCCCCCCCAGGCTCCCCGCACGGCCAAAAGTGCTGCATGCTCTCCTCGCCGGATCCCGAAAGGGCTTGGGAATACACGCCCTTCCCGATGGCCTGCGGTCCAGCATGGTTTCACCGGAGTGTAGCCACCAGGGGGGAAAAGTACGGAGAGGCATGAGCCATCCTTGGCCTCGAGGGGGGTGCCCTCAGCTGGGTCGATCGACGGGCCCTCGGGCGCCGCTGCCCTGGGGTCCCGGGGGAGGGGTCTTTCTGGAACTGCGGCACTGGGTCGCCCGGTCCCTCGGCCCGGCATCCTCCGAGGAAGACCGGGAAAGGGCCGAGTGACCGGAGAGAAGAAGCCCGCCGGAAAGGAGGGGGATGGAAGATCGTCCGAACGCCCCGCCCCCCTGTCAACATGCGCCGGCCCCTCGGGCATTTCTGGGATAAGGTGCCCGGGGGACCCTGGGCCGCGCCGGGGGCGGGGGGGGGGGGGGGGATGATGATCGGAGGGGGGACCATCCGGGCTGGGGGAAAAAACAACAACAGTCTGTCGCTCGGGCCGCTTGATCAGCCCGCTGGGTGGAAAAGTACCCCCCGGCCCCCGGGCACTGGTGGCCCTATCGGTCGGGGCGGCTGGAAGGCCCCCGCCCGCCCGGGGCATGCTTGGGCAGCCGCCTCTGCCCGGGCCGCGCGCCATCCGGCCGGGTGGTTGTCCGAAAAAGAAAGGTGCCCCGGCTGGAGAAGCGCACAAGGGCCCGGTCGAGAGGCCCAGCGTGCATGCTGGCCAATCGAGGAAACACACGTGGGAAATCGCCCAGATCCGCCACTGGCGGTCGGTAGTGGTTAAGAGGGCGAGAGAGAGAGGGGGGGGGGGGGATGCGCGGCCGGGACACCCTAAGGCCCGGAGGGGCCGGCCCGAGGTTGGGAGAGGTCCCCATCCCGGGGCGGACTTCCCGCCTGCCCCCCCACCCCGCGCGCCAGGCCTGCGCCATGCATGATCGACAAAAGAAGCGGCCGCCGCTCCCCACCACCCGCCGGGGTATCCCAACAAGCAGGTTGTTTGCCGACTCCGGCCCGCAGTTTTATTGGCCGGCCCGGCATGATGCCGATTTTTGAGCCGATTCCCCGGCTCCCCCGCCGCAAGCCCCCTTGCCCTGGGAGGGGTCCTGCGGCAGCCGCCGACGGGGAAAACCAAATTCCCGCCCATTGGCAGCCGGATGTCCAAATTCGTGGACATCCGATTTTCCCTGGCCCCCCTCCCTGCGGATTTTCTTTCCCCGCCACCAACATTCAGCGGCCCCGGGGGCTTCTCTCGATGCTTAGGCGACCCACGAGCGTTCTAGGGTCGGCGGGGGGGGGGGGGGGGGGGGGGGGGG